GACTGAATATGTACCACATGCCTTTTTAGTTCCCCCCTGCTTAGTTGCTACGTCGGTGTTAAAAAACCTGTATGCTCTGTAAACCTATGATTTCCGTCGAAATTGAGATTTTGGGTGGAATTGCAGCGAATTTATACCTGACACTGTTTGTGTCGGTTCTTTTCAGGTCATATCTGTCTCTTTCTAAAGAGACATGGGAGTTCTGTTTCTTACTCGAGAAAAGACGGTAAACTAGAAAACCATTAGCAGCATGCTTCATTTAGTTGTATATATGGTCCAAAAAACACAGATCTGTTATTTGCTTCGGTTTTGGTCATTTTTATCTCAAGTGGGACATGAACATTGATATTTTGTTTCTACCTTCTTTGATTCACGTCTGCCTTTGCCTGAGGTCATACAACAATGTACAAGCAGTGTCCATGGTTCTTAACATCATTGCTTCATATCCATACCCTTGCTTGCAATGGTGTCTTCATAGCTGGCCATCGAACATAGAAACACTAGCATCCTAGGCTTAAAAAAATTTAGCTCTGCCAATAAGCATCCAATTTTGATATACAAAAAAGGTAGAATGTTTTTGCTGAGTTTGGGATCTGTTTGTCCCTTCTTTATAAAATAGTTTAGATACTTAAAATATTTCAGTAATTGCTTGCGAGCTACTCTAGTAGTCAAGCGCAGTTCTTTTAAGATGGAAAATAACCAATGATGAATTTAAAAGCACGGAACCTACCCAGCCTGGCTGGCAGGAATCAAACATGGTCATCAGCCGACAGAGATCCATGGCTAGGCCATGTTACCATTGACGAGTGCATTCTGTTTCACAATGTTTAAGAAATGCTTTGGTGAATGGTGATAAGTAGTGAAGTACCATGAGTATGGAAAAGAAATTTACCCTTATTTCATATAAAAAACGTCAAAACGAAAAGGCATGAGCCTATATTAGAACAACAATATCTTTAGGTCATCTAAACAGAAGTTAAAACATCAGTCTTAAAAATGTAAAAGCACTAGTGTACCAAAAAGTAAAAGCATCCATTTAAAAAGATGTAAAATACTAAAGTACCATCAGGCTAGGACACAAGTAAAGCATAAGCATCAACTTGCTCCCAACACAAGAAAGGAATATATCATAAGGGCTCTGGTACATATTTATGCACCCCTACTGCTTCTCTTCTACACGTCCATCATAAATACAAGCCTGTTTCCACCATCGCATCTTCCGTCCAAACTTGTTCATTATCTGGTACAAGGTTAAATTAAGCAGCCACAGTTTATTGTGTCCCAAATGCAAGGTTGGTGTGATTCTGTGTCCCTTATGTTCTTCTCGTCTTTCATGTTACCAGTAGCTTCTAGCTTCTACCTTCTTTGATCATGCTGGGAAAATATATTATTAGTTTTGGACAGTATCAGGAGCATACATAATTTGCTACAGTTTTGGTTGTTTCATGTTAGGTTTGGAATTGTTTGCATAAATTACAGAGGTAGTTGAATTAGGAACTTTGACGTTATCATATTGGGCTCTAGGCATATTGAAGCATAGGGTGCTGTACCAATTTTCATCACAGTCGATGCTATAATGCTATTCTTTGCCCCGCTGCCTTGCTAATAGTGTTGGTCCTTTTCATTAGCTACATCATTTGAGTTACGCTTCTGAGATCCTTTACACCTATGGAAGTACCAACTAGAAATCTGTAGCCAACAGGTGCATACCTTGGCAGATAATAAGATATGCTGTTTCGGTCTTAGCCGTCGTTCTGATTTGCAAATATCTGGTGCTTTGGTTTTGTTTAGACAATTATCTCCCAAGCAACCTTATTGAATGTCGACTCTTGCTATTTTGTGGTGGATATTTCGCTCTTACTCATGTGTTTTTATGAGAAATAATTCTTAATAACCGCACTATATTAATACTACAATGAGTGGCTAGTTCCTATCCAAAAGGGAACCTATGCTTGGTATAAATTTTTGTAGTTGTTCATGATCCAGTTAGGTTGCTAGGGTTACGTTAGCTGGGGGTTCTGAGGTTGTGCTTGCTCTTGGTTTATCATTTTAGGTAAGATGAATTGGATAGAGTGTGTTTTGTTTACGTTTTTCTATTAATACAAAAATAAAGCAGGATTTCACTTCGCACAGAAAGAAACAAAAGGAAAGTGTAATTTGATTCTGATTGCCTTCTTCAATGCAGTTCTCATGGACCCAGTGTTTTGGAAAGCAGCAGAAAATCTCATGGATCCAGTGTTTAGGAAAGCAGCAGATAAAGGAAATATAGTTAGCCTACAAGAGCTTGTCGCCGTCAAACCCAACACAATTTACTCGACGACAAAGGCTGAGAAAAACACAGCACTTCACATCGCAGCGTCAGAAGGCCACACTTTGTTTGTCCATCATTTCCTCCTCCTTGTAGGCACAAATATGGAGCTCATGGTCAGTCAAAACAATGATGACGATACGCCACTGCACCTGGCGGTGAGAGCGGGCCATCTAGAAGTGGTCGAGCACCTGATTCTATATTTGACGTGGGCAAGGGGAATCGATGCCAACTTAAAGGTTCTCAACTGACTAGCATTATGCATTCTATTTGAGTTCAGTACATTGTTTTTCTTTTGAAACCAGATGCAAAGTTTGCCTCAATCTATTAATTAAGCTGAATGTTTTCACAACTAGTTAGAGAGCATTTAGGCGAAAACAAAGATTACAAAACACACCCACGATCTAGCTACTTTAGGCCTAAGGCCACTCCAGCAGACATACGCATGACAGTACAAAAAAACACACACACTGTTGAGAACATCCAAACAACGAAACCACACACAAACATCATCATCACTGGCATACAACTTGGTGACTCCAACTTCGTCACTGACAACCACCAATGCACTGATGAACACGATCACTGCAGAGTACGAAGACGAAGATGCATCTCAAATTTCTGTGACTTGCTTCATACAAGAGCGAAGCACCAAACAAGCCTTGTGTCAGCCAAGTGCACCTCACTTTGCAACAACAAGAGTATACTGCTACCAGTACCGCACGACATGTGTCATCATCGCTGCCATTGTGGCCCTCCACGGCACAACAACTCCACCTTTGTCGTATCGAGACCAATGCATGAGAATACCCAACCAATCGAGATGTCGAAAGACCAGCTCCAGTCTTTCACTGCACACTGCCACACTGTTCATCTCCAGGTATAGTCGTCATTGTTGTGCAAGTCACGACCATGACTGAACACCCTACATACATCACTTGTCATTAGGTGTCTCTGTCAGCAACCGTGCTCTTGCAATGTTTAACTCTGACTGTACCATGCAAGGCTCGTCACCACAGCCACCGCCAATGATAGATCTGCACACCTGGTAGAATGGGTTTGCTACTGACTGCCATGCCAGTCTTGACGTTGCTGCGGGGAGCTCAGATGTGGAACACCGCCGGTGGATCCAAAGAAGCTCCTCGATGCTGCGGCCCTGCAGGATTCACACTCTATGAGCAGATCCACGTGTTATGCCCAATACTTATCCAATTAGGGTATAAGATATTTAAGTAAGGGATAAGATCCTGATACTTAAGAAAGATAGGGTTAGTTACTTGAGATCTGAGTTGTTGTGATAGTATATCTTCTCTATCTCTATACCTTTTTTGCGTAAAAATTAAGTATGTTCCTTTTCCTGCCGGCAGAGACCTTCATCCAACCTTCCATATTTATTTTGAGCATCATTCCTCGATAACCACCTTAATTATCCCACCTTTTATTGACTTAGTACCAAATAAACCTATGTTTTTTTGGTAAGCCAATAAGTGATTACAAAATAAAATCCTAAAAATATATTTAGGTACTTAAATCACGGGCAGGATTTGATAACATTTATTTACACAATCACATTAATATGGGCAGTTAAATCACAGGCCAACATACTAGAATATTTATTCCCGTGGCAACGCACATGTAATTATCTATGAAGACTAGAAGGGAGGACCAAAAGCAATGAATCAAGAGTTTATTTTGTATTTCTTATATTTTAGCCTAGCTATCTAGGAATGATCCGAGATCATTTCACTGGCTAGCATCCCGTTGTGGTATTCCTGGCGCATAGCAGCACCCCAGAGGAGAGGCACCACAATCGCCCAACCCATTGGGTTCGCCACACAAGGGCATCCTTCTCGTTGGAGGGTGCCAACACTGCCAGCCCTGCCAGCCCCTGTGGCAAGATCTCGAGCTACCGCAAACGAGCTCCCACCTTCAGAGCAACAAATAGAACCACATATCACCTTTGGGGCATGACACCAGTTTATATATTTTTAATTTGGCATCAACATCTAAAACAGTACAGGTGTCGGATGCAAGTTTGGGATTTTTTTGCATCAGCATTTTGCATACATTGTAGATGTTGAGCTTGTCTAGGTTAAAAACTCGGCGTACGCATTGCAGTTAAATGTGGTTAAAAACTTGGTTCTAGTTAGTAAATTTATCCAAACTTTGTACTAGAACATAAAGCATTCCTATCCGGATATAGACAAAGTTCATTGGCACACCACCATTCAATTTACTACCGAACCAATCCTAATCTTGCCTTTGGCACAATTTTTCCTTTGAATTCAAGCGTTTGCATTGTATCTAGCTGCAATGAAAACATATGTGCAATTAATTGATACATTCAAATCACTATTGAATCAAGCATAATCTTGCACCTGGAATTTTTTTCTTCTGAATTTAAGTTGTCCTGGTAAGCAGGTCAGTGTTCAAATGGTAATGTACTACATGCGTGCAGGAGCCTACCACAATGTTAAATGGTAAAGGAAATACACCGATGCATGATGCACTGTCTCATCGACAATTGGACATTGCACTAAAGCTTTTGGAGGTCAACCCAAGATGTGCAAATGCATTGAACGAGGAAATGTAGTCACCGCTTTACATTGCTGCTAGGGAAGGCTATCTCCATGTTGTCAAGAAGATTGCCGACCAGTTGTTGGCAGTCTCTATCTCAACTATTGGCACTCGTATGACTGCTCTACACCAGGCTGTGTTGGCTGATGACATCGGTAAGCATATTTAAAAAACGTATCTGTTCCCAATTAAAACATTTTATTTTCCCTAGTAATTAACACCCCAAATCATATAAATTGCCATGTTTCGCACTTGCCACATTAGAATGCATGACAAAATCATAAAGGTTTTGTTCTCGA